GGAAGCCCGCCCGCCCCTGCCTCTCCCTTCCTGGCTGGCCGGGCGGGTGGTAACGCGAGGAGCCTGCAAGGGTCCTGGCTGTGAAGGAGCTTAACCGGCTTCTAGTCCACCCACCCTTCTAAGGCTCAGTCTCGGCAACATCCCCATCAAGAGGTCCTCGAGCCACGGTTGGTTGTATTTCCTTCGATAGTTACCGGTCACCGTGTATTGAGTGTAGTGGCCAAGGGCCAGACAGGCCTGGGAATTGATCCCAGTGCAACCACTGGCGTTCGGGACAAGCTTCGCAGTCTGTTTCCTCATCTTCTGAATGGAGATGATAATTGTATCTACCTAAGGGTGTAGTGACATCATTTAAAGTACCTAGCACGGTATCTGGCATACAGAAAGAGCTCAATAAGTGACGGTTGTTTGCCACTGTGCTTAGTCCATGCCCTCATGAGTCTAAAGAAAAAACAAAAAGTGAGTAATTTAGATAAATAAAAAGGTGCAATATGGTTTATAGGTAGCATGGCAAGTACAGGGTAATTTTGATGCATATTGCCAAACTACCCTCAAAAATAGTATGTAAATGTGCAGTCTCTCATTTATTATAAATGGATTGAGATAGGGATCTTCATTTTACGTTTTTTCACTTTATTTTGCCAAATGGTTAACTAGTTGCCCCAATATCACTTAACGAGTAATCCTCTATTCTTTCCCCACTACTTTAAAGTGCCACCATTAATCAAAAACTCAATTTGTGTGTATCTGTTTCTGAACATTCGCATCTATTCTTTTAGCTATCTGCTAATTCCTATGTTATGCCACACTTATTATAACTTTGTAATATATTTCCTCTCTCATAAAGCAAGTCCCCTCATTCTGTTTCAAAAATTTCAAAATCTTATTCAGGAACACACCTATCTCTTCATGTATTCAGGTCTTATATCTTTAAATACACAAAAATTTCACATAGATTTGCACAATTCTTGTGAAGTTGCTAGATATTTTATAGCTTTTGTTGTTACTGTGAATGGGGAAAACTGGTTTTTGTGTAATCTTGTATTGTACCGCCTGTGAAAATGTCTTATTAGTCCTAGTAGCTTGTCAGCTGTTGCCTGTGAATTTTACGTCAATAATTATATTGAGGCAGGATAGTAAGAAGCTAGAAAAATTCTTTGGCAAGTCAGTAGGGAAATTGAGGCATAGTTAAATGGCCAAGCAATTTACAGCTATCTAGTAAGTCCAATCTTCCCTAAACCAAGGACACTTAAGAGTAAATTGTTTAGCCATGGTCAGTGTGGCTCTGTTGGCTTGGCATCATCCCATGCACCGAAAGGTTGCCAGTTCGATTCCTGGTCAGAGCACATACCTGGGTTGTGGGTTCAGTCTCAGCTGGGGGCAGGCAGGAGGCAGCCAATCAATGTGTCACTCTCACTTAGATGTTTCTCTCTCTCCCTCTTCTTTCCTCTCTCTAAAAAAAACAAAAGTATTTTTTAAAAAGAAAGAGTAAATGGTTTACATTTTCCTTCCTAGTCAGAGGTTAAATCACCGTACACAAGGAGATAGCTGGCAGAAATCCAATTAGTGGCATTTGTGCCAGCCACACCCAAGTACAGATGAAGTTAAAGGAATAAATCTCATTTTGGCATCTCATCTTAAAAGCAATGAGTATTCTATTGAGATCCTCCCCTAAGACCTCCCCTAAACTCCCAGCCTTTAAAAACCCTCAAAACAAAGGTCCTAGAGTGCACTCCCCCTCCAGGAACATGCCCTCTCCCTTCCCTTCTCCCTCTTCATCCCCCACAGGCATGCATCTCCTAAACTCTAAGAGACCCCGGGAAACTTGCCACCAGAGGAGCAATGGACAACAACAGCTCATCCTGGGCTAACCCCCTGGACCTGTCTCCAAGGCCTCCTTTTCTGTGGCTTCTCAGTGAGCCAAAGCAGCCGTGCCTAGGCTGAGTTCTTTCCTATAACATTTCCAGAGAGCCAAAGCAGCCTGCCTAGGTCCCTCCTGTTGCTTCTTCTATGCTAAGCCCTTCCTTGTCTCACTGTCCCCAGCTTTAATAACCATGCCCTCAAAATCACCTGGACTCGTTGTGAAATATTTCCTGCACCAAGTCAAGAACCCACATGCTACCAGCCAGCCCTAGGCAGATCTGCTCAGGGCCATCCCCTTTCCAGCAACAATATGACCTACAGATAATGCAGTTTTCTATCTCCTTATTGCATTGGCCAAAACCTCAGAAAAGTTTTGAAGAAATAATGGACATTTGGTCTTTAATGCAATAAGAAAAACATTTGCCCCTAGTCGGTGCTAGATATTCTTTAAATGCACTATCATCTTTAAAGAAATTTTCTTCCATTCCTAGTTTACTATAGCTTTTAATTGGTAAAGAATGTTAAATTTAATCAATTTTCTCATAAACTCTATTACTATATTCATTTTTTACTCTGACTTACTAATATAATGAAATATATACTAGTAGATTTCCTAATGTTCGACCCATCCTTACGTCCTTGAAATAAACTCTGCTTCATCACGTATTCATTATTCTTTGAATACAGTCCTGGGCTCAATCTGTTAATCTCTTATTTACTTTTTACTTATTTGAGAGAGAGAGAGGAAGAGGGAGAAACATCGATTTGTTGATCCACTTCTTTATGCATTCATTGGTTGATTCTTGTATGTGCCCTGACTGGGGATCGAACCCTCAACCTTGGAGTATTGGGATGATGCTCCAACCAACTGAGCTACCTGGCCAGGGCTAATCTTTTATTTAGGATTAAAATTTAGTTGTAATTAATGACATTGGTCCGTTGTAAATGGTGTTTTTTGTGATTGTCTTTGGCAAGTTTTGTTAAGTGAACAGCAACAGTTTAAGTAATTTAGGAATTAGCTCTTCATCAAAGATGGAGTGGATTTTTACAAAGCAAGTTTAACCGGAAGGATTAGGATCAGAGCCTCAACCTTTTGTAGGGTTGGGCCTCTACTTCATTTTCTTGAAGACTTGGGGTGGTCACAGAACGAGATGGAGAGAACACAGCTGGTTTGGAATATAGCAGGTGGATAACCTTTTAAAATATAATGCTATGTCCCAAAGTAATATAGAGGAAACAGATTTCAAAAACTGATAATAGCTATGGAAATTTTAGATAATTTTTTCTTATTCTTGATTTAAAACCACTTATAGAGCAAGTGTGGGAAAGGGCCTTAATGATCATATAGACCTCGGGACACAAACTGATAGCTAATGAACTTTAGCACACACAGAGTATTTAAATTTTTTTTTTAACTGAGAAACTTCACATTAAATGTTATGGGTCTCCAGCTTCCCGTAGACCTGTATTCTCATATGCCAACAACTGGCCAAATCCTCTAGGCCCATTTAGACTAGGAAGGCGCTCTCAGGTTTACCTGAGTTAGCAGTTCAGTATTGCTCATCCTCATTTAAATGACCTGCCTGGGCTCTATACATGTTTAGGTTTGCACTAAGGATAATCTACCTCTTATTTTGCTGAGGAAATGTAATGGATCTGTGACTTCTAAAATATCCTTATAGAAAACACCTTCACTGCTCTCTCCCATACCTTTCTCAAGGGTGGGCTCAGTCATTGGGGCTCAGTCTCTCAGTCTTTCAATAGATTACTCTCTGCATGTAATGCCTGAAATGTTGCTTATTACAGAGTCTGGCACTGGGAATGCTTCCCTCTGCATCATAGTCTGGGCAAAGTGCCACAGAGTAGAAACTATGCATACTGACCATGGTCACTAGTTTTCTCAGGAAAACCAAACCAATGGAAAACATTTTACTTTATCTTTCATGGTTTCTGTGTGTGTTCTGGGTGGAGATATCTTAACTCATGCTAAATCCTGCCCTGGTATCCTGGGCCATTGCAGCCCCACTCCCACCTGGTGGAGTTTATTAGCTCTTTGAAGACCAGACAGGGTGGGAGGAAATGCCTCAGGGGAAAGGAGAAAAAGGAGGAGCAGAGGAGAACTGTCACTGGAAAGCGTGCAAATAATCAGAGAACAGGGGGTCAATCTCCCATTAGGACAATAGAAGGAGAAAAGAGGACCAAGTAAGTGGTAAGGCACAGGAAATAGTACATATTATTTTAATGTTATTTTCGTAATTGTTTTGATTTTTAAAGGCCACATTTACAGCTAGAAATGGAGCACTAGGAATGCATATTGAAGGCGGGCTGGATTCAGCAGAAAGGAGAGGCAGGAGACCTGAAGAAGGCGCAAAAGGAGAGATGGGTACAGGAGTAAGGGGAGAAAGCTTCATTTGTGCTCATCAGCTTTGAATATAAAGACCCAGCCTCAGTCTGAAACAGCCAGCGATGAGGCAGCCCCAGAAGCAGCCCTGCTGCTGAAGTCTGACATGTTAACAACCCAGCAAGAATTAAGAGGTGAAATCCACAGATGAAACATTTGCTGAAGCCGAGATAAGCATTCCTGGGAAGGAATTTTTCAAAAAATCAAAATGAATCCTGTAAATCTTCCTAATTAGGAAACATGATGAGGAACTAAATTCAACCAAAAAAAAAGAAGTGCTAACTAACTCACCCGCATTAA